AAATAAATAAATAAATAAATAAATAAATAAATAAATAAATAAATAAACTCCCAGAATTCCTCAGGCAGTATGCTGACTGGGGCATTCTAGGAGATGAAGTCCACGTGCCTGGGGAATTCTGGGTATGGAAGTCCAGGTGTCTTAAAGGTTCCAAGATTAAGAAAGTTCAGACTCATCCAACAAGCTCCAACAACAACTCGTGAAGCAGGCCGACCATAGAATCCTAGGGCAGAAAATCTGGAAGGACCCTTAAAGATCATCCAATCCATCCCCCTGGTCAACATAGGATTCCATCGCTTCATTCCCCCCCCCCCCCACACACACAACAGGGCCGTCCATTTCAGTGCCCAACTTTGGAGCCCATCTACTCCAGCCACCTCCCCAAAACATTGCTCCGGCCTTCTTACTCACTCTGAGGCTCCAGCCTGGTGACCAGAGGTTGGGCACCGCACAGGGCAGCTGCCGTGAGGGTCTTCACCCCTTTCTCGGCCACATCGCAGACGGACTTCAAGTAGGGACTCGTCTCCTTGGTGGAGGTGTAGGCCGAGGAAACCAGGTGGCAGGTTGAGCTCACCAAGGGGAGGCTGGCCACCCGATCCATCACGTTCTGCAAGGAAAGAATTCCTGGTTGAATCCAACGCAAATCGGCTGTCGATCCCGGCGGCCTTGAATCAGAAGGAGGATCAAGGCTTGGCGGCCGCCAGTTGCCGACCAGACCTCAAAACTTCGCAACTAGACCCCAAGTTATCAAATGGCCGGTTGGGTTCTCTAGGACTCTCAAGGTCTCCAACCTTGGCAACTTTTAAGACTTGTGCACTTCAACTCCCAGAGTTCCTCAGTCAGCAAAGGTTGCTCTTGGATGTGATGTGGACACTCTGGGAGTTGAAGTCCACAAGTCTTAAAGTCAGTGGTGGGATTCATCGGTTGTAACAAACCGGTTCGCTTCGCATGCCCTCTGGAGGCCGGAAATGGGCTTGTTTCCGGACTTCCGGTAGGCCCGTTTTTCACCCTCCCCAGGCACCAGAGGCTTTCCTGGAGCCTCCAGGAAGGCAAAAACAGCCTCCCCTGTGCTCCGGAGATGGGGCCGTTTCTGGACTTCCAGTAGGCCGGTTTTTCGCCCTCCCCAGGCTCCGGAGGCTTTCCTGGAGCCTCCAGGAGAGTGAAAACGGCCTCTCCTGGGCTCCGGAGGCCCTCCAGAGGCCAGAAATGGGCCCGTTTCCAGATATCCAGTACGCCAGTTTTTCACCCTCCCAGAGCCTCCGTGCGTGCCCTGCACTTACCTAGCATCCAAAACGAGCAGCGTGGAGACTCCTGGGAGGGGTGGATTGGGCAGGGTCAGCCAGTCCTTGGAACAACCGGTTCGCCGAACCAGATTAAAATTAACATCCGGTTCGCCTGAACTGGCAGAATCCCACCCCTGCTTAAAGTTGCCAAGGTTGGAGAACCCTGCTCTAGGATGTGAGGTGGACACAACTGCTGTGGTTTCCACACCATCGTCGTAACCCGACCAATGACGGCTTATTCAGCAAATCCGTCTTAAAAACCATCAGGGTTTGGGAATGAAGGGAGAAATCCAGGCCTAGAAAATTTACCTGCTGCTCCAAAGGTTGGCCATCAGGAACCAGGTGGTTCCCCACTTTTTCTTCCGACGACATGGGTGACGCTGAAAAACAGAATTGGGGTTGGGGGGAGTTACAAGAAGGTGCCCGGTTTTTTTAGAGGGTTTAAAATTAGGGGATGGGCCGGTAAAGGATAACTGGAGGGACGCTATGGTATTTTATTTCTTATTCATTTTTAAAATGTTATCGGTGAAATCTACAAAGATATAGGACAGCCATAATCTAAAGACGGAGGAGGAGAAGGAGGAGGAAGAGCAGAAGGATGGGGAGGGATGAGAATGAAAAGGAGGAGAAAAGGAGGAGAAGAAGAGGGAAAAGGAGGGGAAGAAGGGGAGGGAGGAGAAAGAAGGGGCCTGGTGGCTCAGCAGACTAAAAGCATTGTGATTAATACCAGCTGTCTGCAATTACTGTAAATTCGAATCTCACCAGGCTCAAGGTTGACTCAGCCTTCCATCCTTTCTAAGGTAGGTGAAATGAGGACCCGGTTTGTGGGGGCAATAAGCTGACTCTGTATAAATATACAAAAGGATGAAGGCTATTGCTTAACGCATTGTAAGCCGCCCTGAGTCTCCGGGGAAGGGCAGCATATAAATCATTTTTTTTTTTAAAAAAAAATGAGAAGAGGAGGAGGAGAAGCAGAGGAAGGTGGAGGAGGAGGAGGGAAGGAGGATGAGAAGGAAAAGAGGAAGAGGAGAAGGAGGGGAAGAAGGGGAGGGAGGGGAAAAAAGAAGAAGAGAAGGAGGAAAAGCAGGGGAAGGTGGAGGAGGAGGGGAGGAGAAGGAGAAGAGGAAGAGGGAGAAGGAGGGGAAGAAGGGGAAGGAGGAGAAAGGAGGAGAGAAGGAGGAGAAGAGGAAGAGGAGAAGGAGGGGGAGGGAGGAGGCGAAGAAATATATCCATATAAAAAATTCCAATGAAAATATTACTTACTAAGCACGCTCAGTCCCTTACAATGACCTTAAATATGGCATATTAAAAGCACAATGCCCCATTGTCTCATTCCTACAATATAAGCTCATTTCAACCATTGACGGAAGACTCTTGAACTCACTCCTTAATACGGTGTTTTCCAATCTTGGCCACTTTCAGAAGGGTGAACTTCAATTCCCAGAATGCTTCAGGCAAACCTGCTGGATGGAGAATTCTGGGAGTTGAAGTCCACCTACCTTCAAGCCGCCATGTTTGAGAAAGGCCGCCTTTAACATTTCTCTTGGTTGTAGAGTCAATACCAGGAATTCCTTAGAATTGTGCGATCAGTTAAACATCTCGTTGTTGTTGTTAGTTGCGAAGTTGTGTCCGACCCATCGCGACCCCATGGACAACGTTCCTCCAGGCCTTCCTGTCCTCTACCATCCTCTGGAGTCCATTTAAGCTCACGGCAACTGCTTCAGTGACTCCATCCATCCACCTCGTTCTCTGCCGTCCCCTTCTTCTTTGGCCCTCCGTCGTTCCCAGCATCAGGCTCTTCTCCAGGGAGTCCTTCCTTCTCATTTGGTGGCCAAAGTATTTGAGTTTCCTCTTCAGGATCTGGCCTTCTAAAGAGCAGTCAGGGTTGATCTCCTCTAGGACTGACCGGTTGGATCACCTTGCAGTAAAAGGGATCTTGCAGGAGTCTTCTCCAGCATCATCATTCAAAGGCCTCAATTCTTTGGCGCTTGGCCTACCTTATGGTCCAACTTTCACAGCCATCCATTGCAACTGGGAAAACCATCGCCTTGACTATACGCACTTTTGTTGGCAGCAGGGTGGATAAAAATCAATGTTTTTTTTAAAAAAAATCAAAAAAATCAGATTTTTTTTTATTTAAATCGGATTTTTTTGATTTTTATCGAATTTATTTTAATAAAAAACTTTTGGGGTAAAAATCTATCGTAAGATAGTTTTCTATTTAAGATACATAAATAATTGAATTTATTCAGCATGAAATGGAGCTTAGTTATGTAGCATGAGGCTGTATATTCTGCAACCCTGGGACTATCGGTGAGTCAACAGCGGGTCAAAGGAGTAGCAGAGATGACAGTTGCTCTTTAAAAATTATGATTTAAATCGAGTTGATTTAAATCAAGCCTTTTTACTAGTGATTTAAATCATGATTTAAATTGTGATTTAAATCAACTTGATTTAAATCAAATCCACCCTGGTTGGCAAGGTGATATCTCTACTTTTTAGGATGCTGTCTAGCTTTGCCATAGCTTTCCTCCCCACGAGCAAGCGTCTTTTAATTCCTTGGCTGCAGTCCCCATCTGCAGTGACCTTGGAGCCCGGGAAAATAAAATCTGTCACTGCCTCCATTTCTTCCCCATCTATTTGCCAGGAATTGAGAGGGCCGGGTGCCATGATCTTAGTTTTCTTAATGTTGAGTTTGAAGCCAACTTTTGCACTTTCCTTCTTCACCCGCATCAAGAGGCTCTTTAGTTCCTCTTTACTTTCTGCCATTAAAGTGGTATCATCTGCATATCTGAGGCTGTGGATATTTTTCCCGGCATTCTTAATTCCAACTTTTGATTCATCTAGCCCCCCCCTTTCTCATGATGTGCTCGGCATATAAATTAAATAGGCAGGGCGATAATATACAGCCTTGAGGGACTCCTTTCCCAATTTTGAACCAATCAGTGGTTCCGTGTCCAGTTTTCTCTCTCCTAACAATTAAAAGACTAAAACAGGAAAATCGATGATGCACAGCAGAAGGGAATCAGAAGGAACTAATACGGTTAGTCCTCGACTTATAACCATTCATTTAGTGGCCATTCAATGTTACAAACGGCACTGAAAAAAGTGACTTAACGACCGTTTTTCCACACTTCGGACCATTGCGGCATCCCTGTGGTCACGAGATCAAAATTCAGAGGCAACTGACTCATATTTATGACGGTCCCCGTGTCCCCCCGTTGCGACCTTCTGACGAGCAAAGTCAACGGGGAAGCCGGATTCACTTAACAACCACGTTACTCGCTTAATGACTGCAGTGATTCGCTTAACAACGGTGGCAAGAAAGTTCGTAAAATGGGGCAAAACTCTATAACAGTTTTTCCTGAGATGTTTTTTTTTTTTAAAAAATGCTGGTCTTTTGCAATGCTTCCTTGTTTCTAGTCCTCATGACCTAGCTCCGTGATGGCGAACCTATGGCACGTGTGCCACAGGTGGCACGTGGAGCCATATCGGTGGGCATGTGAGCGTTGCCCTAGCTCAATTCCAGCATGCATGTGCATCAGCTGGTTTTCGGGCCTTCGGGGCCCACTGGAAGTCGGGAAATGGCCCGTTTTTCCGGCCTCCGGAAGGCCTCCAGGGGGCAGGGAAGGCCATTTTCGCCCTCCCCAGGCTCCTAGAAAGCCTCCGGAGCCTTGGGAAGGCGAAAAACGGGCCTACTGGGCCCACCGTGCCATCACGTGCCACAAGCGGGGGGGAGCACGGGGGGGGTCATGCACGCATGTGCAGGGGGGTGGGGCGCATTGAATTATGGGTGTGGGCGTGCCCCTCCCCCCCCCCGCCCTCCCTCAGCTTTTGGCACGCGACGGCAAAACGGTTAGCCGTCACTGACCTAGCTGAAAAATGGAAACGACATCACAAGAAGCTAAAAGGAAGCTGGGTTGGCCCTCAAGGTCTCCTCAGGCTAGCAAATCGCATTTTTGTAGGGCATAATCTGAGAACTCAACCGTCGGGGGGGAGAGAGAATGGGCAAGGAATTTGCCTTGATGTGCCAGGCAAATATGCTCAGAAAGTTAACTTCTGTCCCACTGGGCTGCTTGCCAGGGGCACAAAAAAGATCTTACTCACTTTGGAATGGTTATCGTTCTTTCATGCTCGTGCCAGGAATGTCACCCTGTGGCGACTCACACAGAAATACAATCCCTGGGTACAACGTGTTCATACAAGACCACGGCAGAATTATCTCCTTATTTGGTGCAATGGGGCTCGTAACCCCTTATTAGGCAAACTGGCACAAGCACAATCATCTAGGTTTTCAATCAGAAGGGATTAAAAACAATGTTTTTAAAAACAATCAGTGGCTAAGACGCTGAGCTTGCCTATCGAAAGGTCGGCAGTTCAGCGGTTCGAATCCCTGGTGCCGCGTAACGGGGTGAGCTCCCGTGACTTGTCCCAGCTTCTGCCAACCTAGCAGTTCGAAAGCACTAAAAAAAAAATGCAAGTAGATAAATAGGGACCACCTTTGGTGGGAAGGTAACAGCTTTCCATGCGCCTTTGGCATTGAGTTCATGCGGCCACATGACCACGGAGACGTCTTCGGACAGCACTGGCTCTTCGGCTCTGAAACGGAGATGAGCACCGCCCCCTAGAGTCGGGAACGACTAGCACATATTTGCGAGGGGAACCTTTACCTTTACCTGATTGCTTCCTACATCTCGCCTTTCAGCTTTGTAAAATATACACAGATTATCAGTACGCGAAATGCAACTCTGATATTAAAAACAGGTCGACGTACGACCACTTATGATCACAGTTCCGGGCTCAATTATGGTCATAAGCCGAGGACTTGCGTTCTAGAATGTCGTTCTTCAGAAATAGTGCTAAGGATGCCAATGAACAGCTGATGATCAGATGTCCTTGAAATGGACCTACATAGAATTCCTGCGCCCATAAGTAGTACATGGATCAATAGTAGTAACCTATAGTAACCTGAGAGGGATCTTGCAGTCCTAGTGGACAACCACTTAAATGTGAGCCAGCCGTGTGCGGCAGCTGCCAAAAAAGCCAACACAATCCTAGGTTGCATTAACAGAGGGATAGAATCAAGATCACATGAAGTGTTAGTACCACTTTACAAAACCTTGTTAAGGCCACACTTGGAATACGGCATCCGGTTTTGGTCGCCACGATGTAAAAAAAGATGTTGAGACTCTAGAAAGAGTGCGGAGAAGAGCAACAAAGATGATGAGGGGATTGGAGACTAAAACATATGAAGAACGGTTGCAGTTGTCTAGTTTAATGAAAAGAAGGACTAGGGGAGACATGATAGCAGTCTTCCAATATCTCAAGGGCTGCCCCAAAGAAGAGGGAGTCAAGCTAATCTCCAAAGCACCTGAGGGCA